GGTATGGAGGTATTTTTTGTTGTTGTCTTCTTCCTTGATCCGCTTAGACCTGAACCATTGGTACCATAATATTTCTTCCAATCCACTAAGACTTGGATCTCTAGTACTATAATATTTCTTCCAATCTCAGCAACTCCGCTAGTTCTTCTTTTTTCTTTTTTTGGGTAAGTAGTTCTTTTTAAGATTCTCTTCGCACCTTTTGTGCTTCATATAGACTTATTAGAATCTCATAATACCTCCTAATCTTATCAAAAGATATCAAGAGATATGTATCCATAGATATGTATCAGTATGATGCATATTCATATTTATACGTTAGCACCCTCTTTAAAACTTAGGATGAGTTGTAAAACTCAAGATGCTTTGACACAAAGCAGTTGGAGTTTGAACAATAAATTGGATAAACGAACGAGTTGGATCTTCAGGTCTTCATGCAACATAAATAAATGTGTTGGATCTTCATGTTTTCAGGTGCATGACATGACCGATAGAAGCAGTGGTTTACATGCTCAGATTGCTTGAACAACAAGTACAGAAAGCAGTAGCGGATTAACATGCACAGATTGCTTGAACAACAACCACAAAAAGCGGCAAGCCTCATGAACATACGGCCTCCTCAAAAACAGAGGGCATCAGGAACATCCGAGATCAAGTAATGAAAAACTCGATCAATAGCAAACAAACAAGCATTCGGAACATTGGGGATCGAGTAACAAAGACATCAATCATCGGACAGGGTCGAGTAATGAAAAACTCGATCATCATAAAATATCATTTCAAAGGGTTTTTTTTTTTTGTTTCTTTTAGGTCGAGTTTCAGAGGGTCAATGACCATATCAGATCAAAGTGGCCGTGTGAGATTTCAGACAGATCTAAAAATCAAGATCCATAGGCAAAACAAAGGGGGGCGGTTTTTCAAATCTGGTGGTTTGCTTTTATTTAAACGAGGAGGAAAAACAAGTGTCATTATGTTTTTTCGGCTGTCGTGACTGTTTTTTCTTCTTGGGTAAAGATCTAGAATTTTTCTTTCTGTTCTTGAGGCCATCTTTTGACTTGAAACTCAAGTTACTCTCTCTTAAGGCATCTTGAATTTGGACAACTGAAGACAGGCTTTAGTAAACAAAGCACGAACAAAGAAACTTGAGTAGCTGCAAATTAACAATCATAAAAAACCGATGCCTCGAGCAAAGCAGTTGTACACAAAATCATCAGGCTTCGGGAACAGATAAGATCGATTAACGAAAAAACTCGATCATCACACAGGACGGAGTAACGAAAAACTTGGGTTTTGATACCAGATGAACAGAGAGACGCAATCAGATTGAGGGCCTCACCAATCAGAAACTAGAAACGTAAGCTCGATGCTTAAAATATCGTGACTCTCATTTTGGGCAAGAGAGAGATAGGAACAACCCAAAATAGCACCACCCTCTCTCTCACAACAATACCATGAAATCAAGGGAAGAATGGCGCCAAGGAGGTCTATCGGGCAGAAGAAGCGCAGCACGAAGACCATGAAACAAATTGGTGGTCTTCAAAACAATGTAGCGATCATTCAGACAATATTGTGATCTTATAGAAAAAAATTGATCGGAGCTGATGATCGGCGTCGGGCGATGACTGACTCGGGTCAGCAGTAGTTAGGCTTGAAGCGTAAAGAATTTTTATTTTTTTGTTTTTTGGTTGGAGAGAAATTGGTCCGTCACAAGTACGCAGAGGTGCACCGTCACTTTTGCAAAGAGGTTCAACAAAATAGTTTCAAAAAAACTAGTCAAAGACTATTCAACCAATAGTACAGTCCCTCACTAGAAAACGCAGGGGGCCAATGCTCCGGTGAACGTTGATGAACTAGTCAAAGAGTATTCAACCAATAGTACAGTCCCTCACTAGAACCGATGCTGCTCCGGTGAACGTTGATGCTGATAAGCGTGATAATCTGAAACCTGATTCTTTTTTAGAAATACATCAAAAGAAAGAGACCTCAGTAGACCTCTCTTCTTTACATGCTTAGCTCCCATGGGTTTCTTCCCGGCATTCACATGGTTCGAAGGTTGAGAAACCGCCATTTTTATAGAGAGAGAAAAAGGCGCAGAATCGAGAGAGAGGGGAGAAGAAGGCACAGAAACTAGGAATTAATTTGAGGTTAGGGCAAAACAATTGGGGAATTAATTTAAGGTCAGTGCAAAAAAATTCAAGGATCGAAGCCAAGACAGCTGTAATGCCAGCCCTTGTTGCAGGAGCAAGAGGATTCAAGCTTTGAGAGGCATGGGATCAAAAGCGGGAGAGGGTACTAAAATTTTCGGACCTCAGACATCAGAGGGCACAAATCCAAGCCAACAGCAGAGGGCCGAGGGCACGAACCCGACATAATAGCAGAGGGGCGGAGGGCACCGAAAGCAACTTGAGATCTATGGCTTTGATACCATGTTAGAATTTCATAATATTGCTGAGAAGTCTCTATATATAGATTGATAAAGAATATACAAGACCTGGCTAGTAACAATTAAAGATAAATACCAACGATTAGATAGACACCCTCTAATCTTATCAAAATATATGTACCCATAAATATGTATAAGATAGATATCCATATCTATAGGTTAACCAAACCTCTTTTAAGAAAGTGGCTGGAGTGGTGGTAACATCCTACACCCAGTTACCACACACCTAATTACTACATCGTATCGTGATATCCATTCTCGATGATACCGGCAATTAACACCTTCAAAATGTAACTCGAAATAACGGGTAGGGGCTGTCTTCCCAATGAATTACCCAAAAAAAAAAATCAATGATTTGTGCGTCTTTTTGTGCTACCTTTGTATTGATATGGCCAAACCGTTACTAGGCATTTACCCAACCATTAGTCTTTTTGTGCTACCTTTGTATTGATATGGCCAAACCAATGGTTTAAAAATCGGATCGGTGACCCGGATCAGGCTTTCCAAAAAACGATCCGGATCGGCGAATCGGCGATCCGGATCGGGAATCGGGTGAATCGGTCAGAATAAGGCTTCAAAAAAATCCGAAAAAATTATTAAAATTCATTATAAATATTGTTTTTTAGGAATTCAATAAAAAATGAGGGTACTCCATTAAGAATTTTCATGTTTTTGAATGAATATGCGAATATTGATATGTTCTTTTCCTGCATGAACCGCCATTCAACATTTAATTTACATCACACAAAAGGATAAACATAGAATTATCATGGAATAAGTATATCAACATACATGGACTACAATAAAGCATAAAATTAATAACATACGATCTAAAAATAAAATGATAGACGACGTTGTTGTTTTTCTTGG